AAAGAAGAAGACACAAATAACACACATTAGAAACCACATGGGTGATATCACAATGGAACCAAAGAAAATCAAAAGGATAATAACAGAATACTATGAAGAGTTGTACTCTAACAAATTTGAAAAATTAGAAGAGATGGATATATTTTTAGATAAACACGACCTACCTAAACTAAGTAGAAAACCTGAACAGACCCATAACAAAAGAAAAATTGATAAAGTCATCAAAAGACTCCCAACCAAAAAAAGTCCAGGCCCAGACGGTTCACTGGTGAATTCTATCAAACATTTAGGGAGGAGCTGTCACCAATTGTACTCAAAAATTTCCAGAAGATAGAGGAGGATGGAAAATTTCCTAATACATTTTATGAAGCAAGCATAACCCTCCTACCAAAACCAGGGAAGGACGTCACTAAGAAAGAAAATTATAGACCAATATCCCTCATGAACATTGATACAAAAATTTTCAACAAAATCCTAGCAAACAGACTCCAGCAACACATCAGAAAGATAATACATCATGATCAAGTGGGATTCGTATCAAGGGATGCAAGGATGGTTCAACATTAGAAAAACTATTAGAAAAACTATCAATGTTATCCACCATATAAATAAGAAAAAAAGAACCACATGATCATATCGATTAATGCAGAAAAGGCATTTGACAAAATCCTAATAAAAACACTCAGCAAAACAGGAATTGAAGGGAAATTCCTCAACATAATTCAGAGCATATATACAAAACCAACAGTTTACATTACTCTCAATGGAGAGAAACTGAAAGCCTTCCCTCTGTGAAGAGGAACCAGAGAAGGATGCCCTTTGTCACCACTCCTATTCAATATTGTGCTGGAACCCTTAGCAAGAGCTATACAGCAAGACAGGGAAATTAAAGGCATACAAACTGGCAACGAAGAAGTAAAACTCTCCCTATTTGCAGACGGTATGATCCTATACGTAAAAAACTGCAAAGACTCAGTGAAACAGCTACCAGACCTCATTGAAAGATCAGCAAAGTGGCAGGATATAAGATCGACATACAAAAATCAGTTGGATTCCTCTATACCAAAAATGACAACATTGAAAAGGACATTAGGAAAGCAATGCCATTTACAATAGCCACCGAAAAGATAAAATATCTAGGAATAAATGTAACCAGAAAAACAAAGGACTTTAACAAGGGAAACTACAAAACACTTCTACAAGAAACCAAAAGAGACTTACAAAAATGGAAGCGTAATATACCATGCTAATAGATAGGAAGACTTAACATTGTGAAAATGTCAATACTGCCCAAAGCAATTTACATATATAATGCAATCCCAATCCAGATTCCAACGACATTCTTCACAGAGATGGAAAAAAGAATTACAGATTCTATATGGAAAGGAAAGAGACCCAGGATAAGCAAAGCACTGCTTAAGAAAAAGAATAAGGTTGGAGATCTCTCACTTTCTGACTTCAAAATTTACTACACAGCTAGTGTTCAAAACAGCTTGGTACTGGTACAATGAAAGATACATAGATCAATGGAACAGAATCGAGATTCCAGAAATTAAACCATCTACAACATACGCCAACTGATTTTTGACTAAACACCTAAATATACAGCATAGAGAGGTGATAGTCTCTTCAACAGATGGCGCTGACAGACTGGAAACCGATATGCAAAAGACTGAAACAAGACCATCACCTCACACCTTATACAAAAACCAACGTAACATGGATTGAAGACCTCAATGTGATTCCCAGAATTATGAAGGCCATCAATGAAAAAATAGAGACATATGTGAGTGTACTAATTCTGGGAATACAGAGACTACAAAACATTTTGAAAACCACACAAGCAAAAGTAGACAAAATAGATGAGTGGGACATACTAAAAATTAAAAATTTATGTGCATCAAAAGACTTCACCAGAAGAGTAAAAAGGGAACCCACAGAATGGGAAAAAATCTTTTGCAAAAATCAGGCAAGGGATTCATTTCTAAAATATATAGGAAACTACAACACCTCTACAAGAAAAGGACAAACAGCCCAATTAAAAAGTGGGCACAGAACATGAACAGACACTTCACCAAGGAAGAGATCCAGGCAGTCAACAAACATATGAAGAAATGTGCACGATCACTAGCCATTAGAGAGATGCAAATCAAAACAACAATGAGATATCATCTCACACCAACAACAGCAAAGATCAAAAATGTAGAGGACAATACATGCTGGCAGGGATGTGGAGAGACTGGGACACTCCTGCATTGCTGGTGGGACTGCAAAATGGTCCAACCTCTCTGGACAGCAATATGGCGCCTTCCTCAGAAGGTTGAAAACAGGAATACCTTATGATCCAGCAATTCCTCTACTTGGTATTTACCCACAAGAAAAACAAGCCACAACACGAGAAGATATATGCAACACCAATGTTCAGAGCAGCACTATTTACAATAGCAAAAAGATGGAGACAGCTAAAGTGCCCATCAACTGAAGAATGGATAAACAAACTGTGGTATATAAACATAATGGAATATTATGCTGCCTTGAAGAATAACAATGAAGCTGCATACCACAAGTTAACATGGATGAACGTTGAGGGCATTATGTTGAGTGAAATTAGTCAGTCACAAAAAGAGAAATACTGCATAGGTCCACTACTGTAAAAGACTAAGAAAAAGAATTCATACTAAACGGGGGTGCGGGGATTCTTTCCTGATTGCTGGGATGTTGAGGAAGGGTGAGGGGAGGGATGGAAAGATGGAGCACAAGGCAGGGAATAGACACATTGATAGTTTGGGAGCTGGGGAGGGGGGCAATATACGAGAAGGGAGAGGGGAATGGAAAAACAAAGCAGATGGGAGAATAATTAGGCAGGTTTGAATGCGCTAAGTGGGACACAGGTAAATAATGATGTATGCATAACCTTGGAACAATAGGGTTCTGGGATAGAGATTGAGCCATGGTTGGAATGCGGAAAAGGGGGGAGTAATGTTAAGATGCTTGGCTGTCTTTTGAATCTTGGTTTTCCTTGCATTATATTATATAATAGACACTGAAGGGGGAGAGAAAAGAATAGCCAGAAACATCACCATAGAAAGCTTGTAAGTCAGTCTTCTGCCTATAACTGATTGGAATACCTAAAATGGGGCTACAATGTGCCCAGTGAAGGAGGCTTTCTGCAGAGCCTCTACAATACGTAAGACTGTAGGCGGAATCCTGAACCACATCTAGATCTTCAGAGATGGGAAATTTCCACCTGAAAGGATTAACGAACCAGCCTGGAGCAGCTAGAAGAACAGGAGATACTTCTTGAAAGAAAGACCTACAGGAAAAATACAAAACAATAAAGGCAGATGGACTGTTACTACAAGAACAAGCAAGTTCCTTGCCCAGGAAACATCAAGGCAAGTGGTCGGGTCCCCTCAGTGCAAACCCCCTTCCAAGACTAAGACTCAATACATGCTCTTATTGGTGAATAACGCTCATCACCAATAAGGGGAAGTGAGGGAAAAACAGCAATGAAGCAGAGAGCTAAGCCCTACAATGTTCAATAGACTTCTGTGAACCCGGGTGAAGACCTGGTTGGCCAGCAGTGTGGCAAGACCTGGGGACTCTTGAACCCAGAGTCAGTGAGTGACATAACCACAGAGGAATAGAGTGGAGAGTGATGCGTCCAGCGGATAAGAAGTGAGGGAATCTGCACAAGAACACCCATACTTGCAGATAATACTCACTTGACCTGGCTTCAATGACTGGATGATCAGAGCTCGACCAGAAGAAGAGGGAAAAAAGCATAATCTGATACAATTTGATGAACTTGACCTACACCTATGGAAGCAGTAGCTCAAAAGAGAGAACAAATCCTTACAGCAAGGATCATTCCCACCCCTCCATACACAGAGTAGACAAGGATGGGCAACTTGGGACATTGGCTACCCAAAATGGGGGGGCTACAAAGGCAAGAAGTGACTGGCTTACAAGCTTTCAAGAGGGTAGGTAGATTCATAGGGCATGGAGAAAGGTAGAATCTCCACTGCGTAGTATACAAGCTGTCTAGGCGGGGCTGATGAAATGAAATCCGGATGGATCTCTTGTGATACAATAGTGAATAATTGTTATCTGGACTGCTTGTGAAGGCTGGAATTGTAAAGGTAGACTTTTTTTTTAGCAAGGAAGGGAATGATTAACTTTTCAGCCTAAGAGCGGAGGTCCCTGAGACCATCAAGGGAGAAAAGCAGAGTGGGACCCTACCCAGAGAAGCAGTGATGTCTGAGATGGAGGCAGAGATGATGACATGGAGAGATGTAAGTGTTGGGGACTTCAGACACAGAGAGGGAGAGGGGCCGTGTGCTGATGACCGGGGAACAGGCTTGCAGTGTATACCCTTTGGTTGGTTGATGATGCATGGAGGGGATTGTTAACCATAGCAATGAAATGATATACTATAGGATGAATGTAAAACTAATGTTCTCCCATGTAAACTATCACATAATTCACAATATTTAAAAAAATAAAAGATTAAGAGATTCCATCAGGAGTCGCACGTGTGACAGCACACATAATTTACCTAGATTGTAGCATTCTACTAAAATCAAGTAAAATGTTGTCATGATCTGATCCACTAAACACACATTAAATACTTCTGGTTCTCATTTTCATTCTTCTGCGCATTAAAATGCTCACTAATAAATATGTGAGATCTTTGGTTTTGGAGGGAAAAATCCAGGTTGATGGATCTGTTTGTCTCCGTTCTACTCTTTTCCTATCCTTTTTATCAGTTGACATTCCATTTTCCCCTCCACTTTCAAATCCTGGGGTTTGCATTCTACATAAATGACCTGTAAGTCAAAGATTCTTTTTTTCTCATTTCTTTCCTCCCTTCTCCTCACCCCTTGTTAAAAGTTCACAAAGAGGAATAACATCTTACTAAGCTATTGTGGTAAACATACTCAAGAATTTTTAATTACCTGCGTTTAACATAATATTGAATGACTAAAGACTTTACTAACCTTTTCTCCAGATGTTCCTAAGGATGTTCCAGTCATGAACTACCACTGGATCATTTGAAAGCGGTCTCTTTAAAGCAGTGTTGGGTTTCACATCAAGGACACTGTCTACTATTTTTCTATCCTCTTTGAAGTGAAGACCCATTAGAAAATATTTAACCGCAGAATTGAGATCTCTAAACACATACGACTTCTTACATGGATTCTGGGTAAATAGGAAGAAAGAATACTTAAGAAATCACATCATAAAATAACAAGACATAATTCATATATAGTAACCATCTTAGAAATCTTTGGAGGAAACAAGGTTTACAACTCTTTTTATTTGGTTTATCTATTAACATATATGTGTGTACTCATGTCTTGTAAACATGTCAAATTTTTTTTTTACAGTAAAGATAACAAAATCCCACCAGCTGCTCCTTGGTAACCCTACATAGGGTCACTGTGTGTCAGAACTAAACAACAAAAATGGAGGAGGGGCAGTTGGCAAACAAATGGAGGTGTGATTTATTTAAAAATATGGTTTGTGTATCTAAAGAAAACAAATGTATACACTTAAACTCACACGAAGCTAAGTGAAAAAGCATTGCTACTAGGGTTCTAGTTATATATGCATGGGTCTATTCAAACAAAATGTCCTTAAACTTATTTCTGCAAACACTACATGGACACAGACAACTTCTCTCAGTAATACACTTGTTGCAAGTCTCATTAGAGTGCCTTCAAAAAAGAAAAAGAAAAAAGGAAGTCCATTTAAAAAATCTTCCAAAGAGTTCTGATGGGCCACTTCAATTCAAGGCAGACAGGTCAGCTCAGAAAGTTATGGAGACTTTGGAGGGATTCCCAAGGCATCATCTGGACAAATTTTTCTCAAAGGCCACAGGATGATTGAGGGGTTTATATTGTTAGAAGTTTTTCTGTTTTGTTTTTTAATTTGGGGAGGAAAAGGTCAGGAAAGCTATGCTAGGTAAGTATGTGAGACCAAGTTTGGCCATGGAGCCCTCTGGCTGCACTTCTTCCAACACAGATCTATTTGTTCATTTGGAAGCCCCTCGCACTTTCAATATTCTCCTCAAAAACTCAGATGCATCAATTCTTTAAAAAGAAAAAAAATTTATCAATTATTTCAATTATTCTATGATCTCCCTTATTCACTGTCCAGATTTTGCATGCATCTGAGGTTATTTCAGATACCATGGCTTGGGTCAGGTGCACCTTAGTTCTCAAAAGCTGATTTCTGTGCTCGTCAACACTTTAAAAAGATCTTGTGCAGATTTGCCTAATGCAATACATATCGTTTGATTTCTTGACTGATGCTTCCATGAGTGTTCACAGTTGACCCAGGAAGAATGAAGTCCTTGACAACTTCAATCTTTACTCCACTAATAAGAATGTTATTTATTGGTCTAGTGGTGAGGATTTTTGTTTTCTTTACAATGAGATGCAATCCATACCAAAGGCTGTGCTCTTTGATCTTCATCAGTAAGATGTTTTAAGTCCTCTTCACTTTCAGAAAGCAAGGTTGTATCATCTGCATAACGCAGGTTAAGAAGGCTTCCTCCAATCTTGATGCCACGTTTTTCTTCATATAACCCAGGAAGCTTGGATTATTTGCACAGCATACAGGTTGAATAAATATGGTGAAAGAATACAACCCTGTCGCACACCTTTCTTAATTTTAAAACATTCAGTGTTCTCATGTTCTGTTCGAACAACTGCCTCTTGGTCCATGTACAGATTCCTCATGAGTACAATTAAGTGTTCCAGAATACTCGTACTTTGCAATGTTGGTCCATAGATTGTCATGATCCACACAATCAAAAGCCTTTACATACTCCATAAAGCACAAGTAAACATCTTTCTGATATTCTCTGCTTTCAGCCAAGATCCATCAGACATCAGCAATGATATCGCTCATTCCATGGCTTCTTCTGAATCCGGCTTGACCTCTGGAAGTTCTCTGTCAATGTATGCTTACAGCTGTCTGTGTTACCTTCAGTAAAACTGTATTTGCATGGGCTACCAAAGATACTGTCAGATGATTTCAACATCCCGTTGGGTCACTTCTCTTTAGAATGGGCACAAATATGGATCTATTCCATCAGTTGGCCAGACAGTTGTGTTCCAAATTTCTTGGCAGAGATGAGAGCCTCTTATGCCACCTCACTTTCTTGAAAAATTTCAATTTGTATTCCATCAATTCCTGATGCCGCCTTCTTTGCCAATCCCTCCAATGCACCTTGAACTTCTTAAGTAGTATCATTGGTTTGTGATCATACATTACCACTTGAAATGGTTGCACATCAACCATTTCTTTTTGGTACAGTGACTCTGTTTATTCCTATCTTCTTTTGATGCTTTCTGCATCATTCAATAATTTGCACAGAGACTCCTTCAATAACAAAAGTCAAGGCTTGAATTTTTTCTTCAGTTCCCCCAGCTTGAGAAATGCTGAGCGTGTTCTACCTTTTTGGTTTTCTGACTCCAGATCTTTGCACATTTTGTTCTAAGATTTGACTTTGTCTTCTTCAACTGATGTTTGAATTTTCTGTTCAGCTCTTGTACCTTTCTCAATTCTTCCATCTACTTTAGCATCTCTACGCTGGAAAGCAAGTTTCAGTGTCTCCTCTGACATCCATTTTGACCGTTTCCTTCTTTGTTCTCTTCTTAATGACTTTTTGCTTTCTTCATGTATGATGTTCTTGATGTCATCCCACAACTCTTCTGGTCTTTGGTCTTTACTGTTTAATGTATCAAATCTGTTCCACAGATGATCTCTAAATTCAGGTGGGATAAATTCAAGGTCATATTTTGGCTTTTGTGGACTTGTTTTCATTTTTGTCAGCTTCAGTTTGAATTTGCATATGAGCAGTTGATGGTCTGTTCTATAGTCTGCCCCTGGCCTTGTTTTGACTGATAAAAAGTTTTTCCATTTTCTCTTTCCAGAGACGTAGTCAATTTGATTTCTGTGTATTCCATCTGGTCTATGTTTGATATAATCGTCTCGTATGCTTTCTAAAGATGGTATTTGTAATGTACAAATCACTGATTCTGCAGAATTCTATCATGCGATCTCCAGCATCATTTCTATCACCAAGGCCTTATTTTCCAACCACTGATTCTTTCTTTGTTCCCAACCTTTGCATTCCAATCATCAGTAATGAGCAATAACATCTTGACTGCATGTATGATCAATTTCAGATTGAAGAAGTTGGTAAACTTCTTCTATTTCATCCTCACTGGCTTTAGTGGTGGGTGTGTAAATTTGAATAATAGTGGTATTAACCGGTCTTCCCTGTGGGCACATGGATATTACCATATCACAGGCAGTGTTGTACCTCATGACTGATCTGGATATGTTCTTTTTGCCAATGAATGCAACACCATTCCTCTTCAATTTATCTTTCCTAGCATAGTAAACCACGTGGCTATCAGATTCAGAATGGCCAATAACCAGACCATTTCAGCTCACTAAGCATTCCATTTCATTTTTGACAATTTCTAATTTTCCTAGATTCATACTTCGTACATTCTGTATTCCGATTAATGGATGTTTACAACTGTTTCTCTTCATTTTCAGTTGTGTCTTATCAGCAAATGAAGGTCCCGCAGGTTTTACTCCATTTGCATCATCACAGTCAGCCCTACCTTGAGGAGGCAGCTCTTCCCCCAGTTGCATTTTGAGTGTCTTCCATCCTGAGAGGCTCCTTTTCCAGCACTATATCTGACAGTGTTTTCAGTGACTAAATATTCAGAAGCAGTTCGTCACTCCTTCCTTCCTAGTCTGTCTTCGTCTGGAAGCTCATCTGAAACCTGTCCACTATGGATGATCCTGCTAGTATTTAAAATGCCCATGGCATAGCTTACAGAATCACAGGAACGCACAAGCCATCACAGTATGACAAACTACAGGTAAAAACTTTATTGACCCTTATACACAAACCTGTACATGTTTTTCACACACACATATATATGACAAACATGTGATCTCTAGCTATTTTATAAAAGGTATTATAAATAAGTCCACTTACTCAAATAATTTTTTTTCAACAACCAAAATAAATTTGAGTTTCTTTTATACTATGGGTTAAGGTATCTTGTTTCTGCTGACTTCCTTTTAAATTCTCAAGCCTCAGATTGAAGAACTATAAATTGGTTTTGAGAAATACTTCTAAATAATAACTTGTAAAGCATTTAAATTAGGGAATTATATAAACTTTGATTAGGATTACACTGATAAATGCATACCTTAGAACTTCCTGCATTAGTCTCTTCTTCCACAGAAGACCGGGTCTTTATAGGGCTGCTAGACTGAAGAGTCAATCTGATATTAAACATTTCGCTTAGTGTGGAAGGCGCTATATTTTGATACGTATTATCTGAATCCTGAAAAAACAACTCATAAATCACCTATAAATTGAAAAGCAAAAAAGCACTTTAGAATTGGAAAAATACATAATATACATTAAAGATTCAGAGGACACAATGAGATCAAATATGTTTTAAAAACTAAGATGACTAAATCCATTTTCCAACTTTTTAAAGTTTCAGGTTTTTGAAACCAGAGTCACAATGTTTTTAAGCATTCCAGCTCTCAATCTTTTCTCATGGCAGTCTCACTAATTATTAAACAAGAGCATTACAACTTCCTTATGGCTAACCCTTGTACATCTGTTACACAAAGTTTCACAGAATTAAAAAAAAAAGATTGTATAGATTATTGTTGTTAAGTCATTTGTGTGTGACTTGTTGATCCTGTACATGGTTTCCAACAAGTGGCTAGTGGGTGTGAACTGTCAACCTTGCAATTAAACAGTCCAGTTCTTGTGCTACAGTGCCACACCGGACTCATACAGATTCACTCTTGTTAAGTGCCAGTTAGTGGGTTCCGACTCACAGCGTTACTGTATGGAGTTTCTGAGGAACTGCTAGCTAGTGTGTCTTAACAGTTGAAGTAACAACAGTCCACTGCTTATTCTATAGCGCCACACCTGGACTCCATATATAAAGTCTCTATTATTGTTGTTAAGTGCCATCGGGTGGATTCTGATTCATAGTGATCCCATAACAGGTTTTCCAAGGAGCATCTGGTGAACTTGAACAACCAACCTTGAGATTCAAACCAATTTTGCAATCAAGCACATTAATCCACGGTGTCATAGGGATTACAAAACTGAATCTAAACTGTGGTCACCCATAGGACGGAGACATCTCTAGCGGACTGCTCCACTGACAAAAGGAATCAGAATAGCTACCGGAAAAAGAACTTTAAAGAGAGATAAAGATGAAGCATCATGACTAAGGATTACGAACAATGAGATCAGGGAACTATGAGGGCAGAGTTACACATTCTGCCTGCCAATCCTCAAGAATGCAGCGGAATTCAAAATCTGAAGAGGGTTAAAAAAAAAAAAAAAAAAAAAATCCTGAAATCCAAAGTATTTCTCCCTCTGTTCTTAAAATCTCCCACTATTACTGAAGATTTGTCTATTTCTTTCTTAAATTCTATTGTTGTTGTTGCTATGTGCCGTGGAGTCGGTTCCAACTCATAGCAACCCTATCTGTACAGGAGCAGAAAGCCTCATCTTTCTTCCGCGGAACAGCTGGTAGTTTTGAACTGCTGACCTTGAGGTTCGCAGCCCGATTCGTAGCCACTATGCTACCAGAGCTCCTTTCAATTCTATTAGAGGTTGCTTTATATATTTTGGGACTCATTCATTGAGAGCATAGGTAATTTAGTTATATATAATACAAATTTTAAGTTGTTAAGTGCCATCGAGTCGGTTCCGACCCATAGCGACCCTGTACAGGGTTTCCGAGGGTGATAATACAAATTATCTTATTCAATTAAACACCCTTTGATCATGAGATAACGTCCTTTCTCTTTTATGCTAATCTTTGCATTAGTTTATTTGATCAGAGATTAGTATTGTCACTTACACTCCATTTTGATTGCAATTAGTTTAGCACATTGTTTTCATCCTTTAACTGTTAATCTGTTTTTATCTTTGTGGGTAAGGTTTGTCTTTTGAAGACAGCATATTGAAGGTTCTTGTTTTCTTATCCATTCTGCCACTCTCTGTTCTCTAACTGGTGCATTTAATCCGTTGACATTCAGTGTAATTAGGTATGAATTAATTGTAAATTAATTTTAAGTAAGTTATGAATTAATTGCTGTCATTAAGGAGCTCTGGTAGCGGTAGTGGTTACGAATCGAGCTGCGAACCTTAAGATCAGCAGTTTGAAATTACCAGCTGTTCCGCCAGAGAAAAATGAGCATTTCTGCTCCCGTAAAGATTTACAGCCTCAGAAACCCTGTTCAGGGTCGGTATTGGTCAGAATCAACTCGACGGCACTTAACAACAACTGCTGTCATTATGGGGTTTTTTTCTGTGTTGCTGCTGATTTTTTTGTTCTACATGCCTTCCTGTGCCAAGTTCATGTTTTTGTTTTTCATGTCCATTTCATCAGTTTTAATCTTTCCATGTTCTTCTTGAATTTTCATTTTCTTGACATTTTGTGATGTATTCATTTTCTTGGTGGTTACCCTGTATTAACTTTTTTCTCCATTTAAAACTGTCTTTTGTCCTCCAATCTACTACCAGACCACCTCATCACCAGGATCTCTGTTCATTCATAGTTTTCCCTTCTTTCACACTGTAACTATTCTTTTATCATAGACTGACCTCCCAAATCCTTTGAATTTTCTGGTAGTTTTATTCTGGTCTGGATGCTTCCATCTGTCAACTGCGTTCTGGTTGGTGCTGTCATGTATGTCAGCCTCTAGTTGTTGTCTGTTCTTGTTGGTTCTCAGTCCCAAGAACTCCCTTTTAGGATGTTCTGAAGTGCTGGGTTGGCTTTGACAAAGTCCCTTAGCTTTTGTGTATCCTGAAATGTTCTGATTACACCATTGTATTTGATTGACAGCTTTGCTGGGTACATTATTCTTGGTTGGCAGTTTTATTCTTTCAGACTTTTATGTATGTTTCCCCAGTGCCTTCTTGCCTGCAGTTTCTGGTGAGAAATCAGAGCTTAATCTGATTTGCTTGCTGTTTTAAGTAACATTTCTCATTTCCCTAGCTGCTTTCAGGATTCTTTCCTTGTGTTTTTTATTTTGGAAAGCTTGATTATGATATGTTGTGATTTTCTTTTGGGGTCTATCCTTCCTGGGGTTTGTTCAGCTTCTTGAATGCTTATCTTCTGGACTTTCATGATGTTAGGGAAATTTTCTTCCAGAAGGTCATCAACTACCTCCTGTGTGGTCTTCTTTGATCCCTCCTCTGGTCCATGATTCCAATAATGTGCTCAAGCTATTCCTCTTCATGTTGTCCTGCACATGAATCTTAAGACTTTCTTCAGAAGTTTTAATTCTTTTTTCTGCTTTCACTTCTATTTTACCTGTATTGAGAGATTTGTCTTCAAGCTCACTGCTTCTGGCTTCCATCTCTTCAATTCTACTTCTTTGCCTTTTCAGCGTATTGTGCATTTCTGGTGTTTTGTTATATCATTTGGACCTCTTTTTGTAGGTTTTGAATTGTTCTCAAGGTTATTTCTATCTTATTCGATTGTTCCTGGAGCACTTTGCTGACTTATTTTTCTCAACCCCTGTGGAGCACTTGGATGTACTTTAGTATCATTCTCCTGAATTCCTTATCAAGCAGTTCCAAAACCTGCCCCTCTTTCCAATGGGAAATCTAGGTCTACCTCCAGCTTATTTGTTTCAGCTACTCTATCTTATTTCTGGACATGAGCTGAGCTCTTCTGTTGTTTTTTGGGCATTTTCAATAATTACGTATATTTTCAATAATTAGATGAATGTATGTTGTTGTTGTTGTTATGTGCCGTGGAGTCAGTTCCAACTCACAGCGACCCTGTACAGGGTTTCCGAGGTTGTAAATATTTACGGGAGCAGAAAGCCTCATCTTTCTCCGGCGGGATAGCTGGTAGTTTCGAACTGCTGACCTCGCGGTTCGCAGCCCGGTTCGTAACCACTACGCTACCAGAGCTAGCCAGTGTATTATTAAACTTTCCGATTGCCTCCTGTTGATGTGATCAGGAAATGGTTTTCCCTTTCCACATCTTTTATTACTCAACTCAGAGTAATTTTAATAAGTGTTGGTTAATACGATTCTCTGGTGCATAGCAGCTGGTATTAGCATTTGCCCAGATGGTGGGATTTTTATAGGGTGTGATTGTAGCTTGGCTATAAGGTAGCATTTACATTCTCTTCTTGGATAACGTTGGGGGGAGAGAAAGCCCATCCCAAGGTAAAGGAGGGACCAAAGAAACCACCAACCCAGATTGGCCATTAAAGTCTGTAATTGCCACACACACAACAAAACAAAAACAGGAAACAAACAACAAAGCAAGACTTTACTGCCCCTTTCTCAGCTTCTTGCCTTCAAGGCCACCGGAGACATTTCAAGATGTTTGGCCTCTTTCCTTTTTTGCCTGTCTCCCTCTCAAGCCCGTTCAGGTATGAAAAACAGCCCAGGGCTAACAAGAGTCGTTTTTTGAAGATCTTTGTGTTTTAAGCTGTTCCTGTTGACTCCTCTACCTTCTTGGATTCTGTGCCTAGTGATCTTTGCTAAGCAGATCTGTGTAAATGCACAGTAGAACCCTCTGGGGGTGGGAGTGTCCACTCACTCAGGTACTCTGTCTTGTCTCAGGGTGAAGGTGCACAGAGAAAGAGAAATTAGCAGAAGAAAAACTGTTCACACCTTTTATATCTGACGATCAATCAGGTTTCAGTAATGAGAATTCTCTCCTGCTCTTCTATCAGCTCCATCCTGCTTAGGATGGCTGTGCCAGGTATGCGCCAACAGCCGCCACTCAGAAAACGCCACTTTTCTTGCTTCTACTACATATCCCTTTGGGCTAATGCATCAGACTGCAAAGTCATTTGAACTGCAAGGTTAGTAGTTCAAGCTCACCAGCTGCTCCTTGGAAACCCTACACAGGGTCGCTGTGGATCAGAATCAACTCAACAGCACTACAAATCCCACTAGCAGTAAGCCTTTGCTCTTTCTAAATATTCCTTTATATGTAGTTCAGAGTTTCGGGACCAAGCCCTGAACCTACTTCATCCAGTATTGTGTGTTATTACTGTCAGAGGTCTGCACGGTGCTTCTCCCTAACCTGCTGTCAAGCCCTGCTTCCTTCTCTTTCTGTTCTTCATGTGACAATGATGGTGCACTGGAATCCATATTTTGTGCAGCAACGAGCAGCTGTATCCTCGGCACAGGTATCATTGTTCTCCACAGAGCTCTGGTGAGCAATCAGGATGATGTCATGTTCCATGGGCATCAACAGGCTAGCACTGGCTTTGGCATTATCTGAGATAGAACTAACTGACCCCATCAACAACCAACCACAGAATGGAGAAAACAAACATCTTGTTAGTAATCCACAAGGCCTAACTATGGTCCTGTGACCTTTGTCATGTGTTATACCTCCCTGAGAATGAACTGAATTTCTCACAGCATTGTTGTTGTTGTTAAGTGCCGTTGAGTCAATCCTGACCCATAGTGACTCTTTATAGGGTTTCCAAAGAGTAGCACTGTTTTGAGGATAAATTAAAATTCACATTAAATTTTCAGACAGGACAAAAGAGAAGACATAGTTAAAACAGAAAACTTAAGAAAATGTTATTTTGACAAGTTGAAATGACGTCAAAAAAACCCAGTTAAGTGAATATCTAATGGGATTTATAATGACCAATTAACTGCGTAAGAAAAGGATTTAAAATCTACTACTCGATAGTTCTTACACACATAAAAAAGTTTTAACTACATATAGACTAATTACATGTCTAATAAGAGTTAACAGCACCTATGATACCAAGCTAAAAATATGTACACTCCAAGATGTGGACCTAAGAGAAAGTAAAAACCCAGTCTGTAACTGTCACCATCACTGATCTGTCAGTGTGTCATACTGTGGTGGCCTGTATGTTGCTGTAATGCTGGAAGTCATATGCCACTGTTCTTTTTTAAATACCAAGAAGGACACTTGTAGACAGGTTTCAGCAGAGCTTCCAGCCTAAAACAAGGAAGGAGAGGTGGACCACTTCTGAAGGTTACAGTCACCAAAAAGAAGTGGAACATTGTATGGTATATTTTAAGAAGGTTGGAAAGCACTCGAAATATGACTAGGGAAGAGCTACCACCTCAAAGTAAAGTTCACCTAATATAGATGAAACACAGCTTTTGGGACCTTCATTTGGCTGATGGGGACATGTGAAAATGAAAAGAAACAACTACAAACCTCCATTAACATTTAAATGTGGAATGACAAAGCATGAATCTGGGAAAACTGTCTTAAGGAGTCCAAAATGAAACAAGACTCAACAATCAGTATCCTAAGCATTAATGAGCTGAAGTGGATTGGTTATAAGTCATTCTGAATCAGGCAACCATGAGATCTACTATGCTGGGAATAACAAATTAGGAATGATATCGCATTCATCGTAAAAGTGAGCATTTCAAGACCTATCTTGAAGTGCAATGCTATTTGTAATAGTATACTTATCCACGTGTCTACACGGAAAACAAGCTCTGATAGTATAGTGGTTACGAGTTGGACAACTAACATCAAGGTCAGCAGTTCAAAACTACCAACCATTCTGTGGGAGAAAGACTTTATGCTCCTGTAAAGACTTACAGTCTTAGAAATCCTATGCAAGAGAGCTATGAGTCGAAACTGACTCCTCAGCACACCCCCACCACACAGAAAACCAGTTAATATCACTATCATTCAAATTTACATACCAACCGGTAAAGCTAACAATGTAAAAACTTATGAAATCTACTGACTTCATCAGACTCCTAGTGTGGCACTGTAGGATAAGCACAGGACTGCAAAGCACCAAGTTGGCGGTTCAAACCTACCAGCTGCTCCTCGAAAATCCTGTAAACAGCTGCTATGAGTTGGAATCAACTCAATGGCACTTAACAACTTCTTCAGTCTTAAACTGATCAAACAGGCAATCAAGATTCATTGGTCCATTTGACCTAACTTTGATGGCTTGATGATCAGAAGGCAACTAGAGGAAGATTTAAAAACAAAAACAAAAACAAAAACAAAACCTGTGATAAAGGAAACAAGTGTAAATTGCTACAATTTGAGGAACTTGACCTATTACTTATGGATGTTGTAGCTTTAAATACCAACTGAGAAGGAAGGAATCTTCACATCAAGAAATAAATCCTACCCTTTGTGTACAAAGGGTTAATAGGGACAAGCAACTTAAGACATTGTCTACAGGGTGAGGGTGGTATATGAAGGCACAAAGTGACTGGCTTAGAAGTTTTCAAGATGGGAGTTTAGATCCTATCCCTTCTGTACAAAGGGTTAATAGGGATAAGCAACTTAAGACATTGTCTACAAGGTGAGGGTGGTAAATGAAGGCACAAAGTGACTGGCTTAGAAGTTTTCAAGAGGGAGTGTAGTTCTTCCAAAGTGTGAGGGAGTTTAGTTCCAAAGTGTGCAGGGGAAGGTAGAAACCTCACTGAATAGTTTCCATTTTGTCTATATGGGTCTGGTGAAAAGGAGATGGGGATAAGATTCTTATGATTCAAAAGTGATTAATTGTTATCATGACTAATTGTGATTGTCACAACTGTAAAAGTAGAAGTTTTTTTTTTTAACAAAAACGGGATAGTAGTTAATTTTACAATCCAAGAGCAGAGGACCCTAGGACCATCAAGGTAGCGCATGAGCAGAATGGGGGACCCTATCCAGAGAAGCAGCGACACCAGACGTGGAAGCAGAGATGATGACATGGAGTAACAGAGCAGCTGAGAACTCTAGACTTATGGAAAGAGAAAGGCTGTGTGCTGGTGGCCAGGAGGGAAGCTTGCATAATGTGCCCTTTGGTTGACTGTTTAAATGATTGAGTGCATTCAAAAACAGAGGGAACAGAAGCAAATACTGTTGAATGATGATTCATGAAGGGGATTATAAGCATTGCAATGAAACAACATTCTCCATGTAAACTATCACTCAATTCACAATAAAAACTCAAAAAAGCACACAAAAAACATAGGTAATTGCAATGCAAAACTTTTGAAAGCAAATAGGAAGCATCTGTAGCTAGAAAATATGGCCTCAATGATAGAAACAATGCAATGGATTTATGCTGAAAACTGCATGTTAAGAGTTTTGCAAAGACCAATGACTTATTCACTGAAGATACCTTGTTTTCAACAATATAAAACATACACAGACCTCACTAGATAGAATACACAGTAATCAAAGTGAATATACCTTTGAGTAGAGACTATTGTTCTTGTAGTTAAGTGCCGTCAAGTTGGTTCCGACCCATAGCGACCCTGTATAGGGTTTCCGAGGAGTGACTAGTGAGCTTGAACCACCGACCTTGCAGTTAAAATGGCTTTGCAGTCTGGCGCATTAATCCACAGTGCCACAGTATAGAATAATACTATTTCTGCATCACGCTACAAAGCTTAGCTGAAAATTTCAAGCCCATCTATATATATAGTTGAATTGATTTATTTTTTAGACTTAAGGTTACTTCACAAACTATAAAACTTGAAATTGTAAACTCTAGGGAAAAAGAAACAAAAAACATATTGCCTCTCCAGACTCACACCAACAGAACTTGTCTCAGTATGTTTCATTATTATAATAAAATTCAGTATTTAAATATATAAACATATGTTGTTGCTGTTGTTGTTAAGTGCCGTCGAGTCGGTTCCGACCCATAGCGACCCTGTACAGGTTTTCTGAGGCTGTAAATCTTTACAGGAGCAGAAAGCCTCATCTTTCTCCCGCGGAACAGCTGGTAGTTTCGAACTGCTGACCATGCGGTTCGCAGCCCGATTCGTAACCACTACGCTACCAGAGCTCCTTATATAAACATATACACATGCATATATATACGGGAGCAAGGTGGCTCCATACAGTAAGCACTGGGCTGCAAACTCTAAGGTCCTTGGTTTGAGCCTGCCAGCTGCTCCACAGAAAAAAAGATGAGGGTTCCTGCTCCTGCAAAAAGTCTCAAAACCCCTATACAGGGTTTGCTATGAGTCAAAATCAACTCCACAACACTCAAAATACATACATACATATATACACAGATGCTGTGTCTCGCTTCCTACTTCATGTGCATGGACAGAAAAATAGCAACTTATAAGTTACTAAATACATGAACTTTACCAATATTACTGAGTGCATTTTTAATTCTCACAAGTATATTTCTCATTTATATTATACTCAAAAGTTAATCAATATGGACATAAAGACTATAAAAACACCATTTTCAAGAAGAAAGTCTTTTTTTTTTTTTTTTTTTTTAAATCCCACCTTCTGTGCTTCCTTCCTCACTGAGTTAAGGTCCGGATTTATGGCAAGGCAGTAGAGAAGCTCCTTCAACATTTCTCTGATTCTTCCCAGTCCATAAAGAGCGTGGGCTTTTACCTCATGTCCCTGGGCATACCAAAATAAAAGGCAGACATTTAAAAGGTATCATGGTATATGCTTGCATACATATAGCTCTGACGGAATCCTTACAACTATTTGTTTTGATTTCATATTAAGTAGAATAAACAAAAGCCCACAGAGAACAGCTCTAACTCTACTCAATCACCTGACCTTGGACACTTATTAAACACCTTAGTGTCTTGCCAATCCAATCTGCTGTAGGAACGTAAGAGTTGGCATATCTGGAATTTGCTGACCAAAGCAGCTCCAAGTATGCTGCCTACCCAACAAGCTAATAAACTTATTAGGTATTACTACAGGTCGCTATCAGATTCCTACAGTCTTGTGAAGACACACACTTCTAGAAATTATGTTAAAAAGCAGCATAATATATTAAGTACCATGGAAGGAAATTATAAAAACGTAACAGGAATCAGTCATTTCAAACTGTGTTTTTTAACAGCACTATGTTCGCACATCTTTCAAAACATCATCATTTTTCACTAGATCATGAGTTTTATTTCCACTGGGTTAGTAGTTCTGGTTATTTTAGTTATCTTTTTCAAAATTTGTTTTGGCTATTTTGTCCCTTGTTTTATGTATTTTAGAACCAGTCTGTCAATTTCCACAAAGAAGCAAGCCTACTTGAGATTATGTTTCATGTATCAGTCAATTTGGAAAGATTGGACAATCTTAATAATACTGACTCTTGAACCTTGTAATAATAATACTTACTCTTGAACATTCTTACAATGTTTTGTTGTTTTCATTGTACAGGTCTTGAAGATATTTTTTAAGTTTAGGCTGTTCTTCAAACGTGTGTGCCAACTACTCATGAGAAAACTGATTATTTTTACAGAATTGTGCAGCTTGAAATTGATCAAATATCAAGACACATAAAAAATTATTAGTGATTAGAATGTGAAGGTTGGAAACAAAGAAGGAAGAGCAGTAGTTGGAAAATAAGGACTTAGCAGTAGAAACAATACTGGAGATGGATTGATCAAATTCTGGAAGGCAATGACATATCCATTGAAAATCTTCCTTTCAACAACTAAGTGGTGATGATACACATTAATCTCACCAGACAGGAATACACATGAACCAAAGTGACAACATCTGTGGAAAAAGGCAACCCAGAAGCTCAAGGTCCACAGTCAAAACAAGGCCAAAGGTCAACTGTGGAAGACCATCAACTGCTCACATGAAAATTCAAATTAAAGCTGAAGAAAATTAAAACAAGACCAAGAGAGACAAAGTATGACTTTGCACATATCCCACATAAATTTAGAGTCCATCTCAAGAATATATTTAAGGAACTGAACACAGATGACTGAAGACCAGGTGAGTTGTGGGGTGTTATCAAGGACTTCTTCATACAGTTAGAAAGCAAAGTATCATAAAAAAGACAAGAAAGGACAAAAGTGTAAAAAGAGACACAAGTTGCTTTTGAACACAGAGCAATTAAAGCAAATGGAAGAAATGAAGGAAGACAGCAGAAGAGAACATTTCCAATGTTGACTCAAGAAGACCAAGTTTTACAATGACATGTGCAAAGACCTGGAGACAGTAAAAAGGTCAGAATACACTCAGCATTTCTCAAGCTTAAAGAAATGATGGAACAAACAAACAAGTAGACAAAAAATCAAGCCTCAAATTTGCTATCTTGAATGATTCTATAATACAATACTGAACAATGCAGGAAGCACCAAAAGACAGAAGGAAAACACAGAGTCACTGTACTCAAAAGAATCAGTTGATGTTCAAGCATTTCCGGAGGTTGCACAGGATCAAGAACCAATGATGCTGAAGGACAAGTACACGCAGCAAAGAAAGCACTGGGGCTCCTGGAACTGAGAGAACATCAACTGAGATGCAAATGGATGCAAGGCTGGAAACATTCACACATCTGTGCCAACAGATTTCAAAGACAGCTACCTGGCCCACTTACTGGAAGTGATCCGCATTCAAGCTCATTCCAAAGAATGATGATCCAGTGAAATATGAAAATTATCAAATATCATTAATAGCACATTTAAGTATATTTTTACTAAAATCATTCCAAAAAATTACAGCAATGCATTGAGGGGCAGATGGCAGAAATTCAAGTCTGTTTCAGAAGCTGTGAAATTAGATTATTATCATTGCTGCTTAGATGGACCTTGGCTGACAGAAATAGGAGAAAAGTGTTTTACTGACTATACAAACGTTTTATGGATCACAACTACAGATAATATCAGAAAAAGCAAAACATACTCACATTACTAAGAAGCAGCCATTAAAACAAAACAGCATGGTTTTAAATCTGAAAGACTTCATGCTCCTGCCAAGATTTAAGCCTTGAAAATCCCAAACAGGGTCACTATGAGTTGTAACCGACTCTAACAACCAGCATTCACCATATTTATTCAATCTGTGTGCTGAACAAATAATCTGAGGAACTGGACTATACAAAGAACACAGCATCAGGATTGGAGTAGAACTCATCAACTTGTAGTATGTAGAAGACTTTGAAGTACTACAGTCTTCAGTGGGATTGCTGGTGGTGCTAAGTGTTGTCAAGTGGATTAAGACTCAAAACAACACTTTACAGGGCTTCCAAGGAATGGCTGGTTAACCTGAACTGCTGATCTTATAGTTCAAGCTGACCTTGCAGTCTAGTACTCCTCCTCACTACTGGAACAGTAATGACAAAGAGAGAAAATACTCAAGTTTATCAAGAATTTCATTTTACTTGGATCCACAATCAACAACCCAAAGAAGCAGCATTCAAGAAATAAATGACATATTTGCACTGGAAAAATATGCTACAAAAGACCTTTATAAAAAGGGTTAAAAGGTAAAAGATGTCACACTTTGAGGACTAAAATGTGTTTGATTAAAGTCATGGTATTTTCCATCACCTTATATGCACATGAAAGGTGCGCAAAGACTATTAAATGTATAGAACAAGTTTGTCTTGGAATAAGTAAAGGCAGAATGTCCCTTAGAAGCAAAGATAAAAAGACTGCATCTCACATACTTTGGACATTTTGTCAGTAGAATGTCGTTCTTGGGAAAGTATAGAGGATCCACGAAAAAGACCAAGTATGACAATGAAATGGATTGGCACAATGTCTATAAACAATGGGCTCAGACCCAGTAAATATTAGGAGGATGGTGCAGGACTGGGCATTGTTTAGTTCTGCTGTACATAGGCTATGAGATGGCAACTAAACCTTCATTTTATAACTGTCTTATGGGTATATAGAAATACAATTGATTTTTTTTTTTTTTAATGTTTGGGTTTGTATACCAACCTTGGCAACCTATTAGTTTCAGGGGCTGTTCTGCCAATTTCCCATGTCTTTATAGACAATTATATATTCTGCAATTAGGAGTCAATATTACTATCTCCTTTACCATTCAGCATGCCTTTCACTTTTTGTTCTTGCTACTATACATACAGGATGGGGCCTACTATTTAACAGTCTTGGAAACCCTATGAGTTGGTCACTATGAGTCAGAACCAACCACCATCACTGCTTTCTGGTCTGTCAGCTTTTTGGCTGTGCTCTTCATTGAATCGGGAATTTACACAACGCATGTTCTCAAAAATTTGTATAACTTATGTGCTGCCAAGATTTTAAAAGGAGCTTTGACAGCCCTGAAGTCTAAACTCTGTTAACTTTTGCAGATAATTCTGAGTGCTTTTCCTACTACAATTTTTTCATTTACAACAATGGAGAGGACAGAACTCTGGGGCAAAAAAGCCACACTCACAATTCTTATCACTTTCATTTTCAGGACTTTGAGATGAAATGCATTTCAGCCTTTTGTTTGGGATGCTTTACTATGTCTTAACAAAACAACAGAAAAGGTTGTAATTTTCTGGGAAGATTACACATTCACATAGCTATATACTTACTGTTCTGCCACGAACAATTAATGGTTTATTTTTAGATACTTAGGCTCTGTAGGGCAGTCCTGGTGTGTCCTTGTAGGACAAGCACTGAACTGAGAGTTTGAAAGTTCAAACTCATCAGTCACTCCTCAGAAATCCTATACAGGGCAGGGTCGCTAGGAAATCAGAACCGAATGAGGGAGCTGCTGGTGAACTTAATCTGCTGACCTGGCAGTTCAAGCCAACCTTACAGTCAGTCACAGCCTCAGAAACCTTATACATGACATGGTTGCTGTGAATCAGAACCAATTAAATGCCACAAAACCACCACCACACCATCTTAACCTGGAGTTTCTCATATGGCACAATAGGATAAGCACTGGGCTAACTCCAACGTTGGCAGTTTAAACCAACTAGTCATTCCCTCAGAAACCCTATACAGGGTCACTGTGAGTTGGAACTGATTAGATGGCGCTTGTTGCTGTTGTTGTTAGGTACTATCGAGTTGGTAATTACACATATCAAGCCTATGCACAACAGAATGAAACAGTGCCTAGTCTGGTGCCAACCTCACAATTGTTGATATAACTTTTGAGTCCACTGCTGTTGCTACTATGCCAATCCCTCCCGTTGTGGGTCTTACTCTTTTGCTCCAACCCTTTGCTTTACCAAACATGGTATCCTTCTCCAGGGACTGGTCCCTCCTGACAATATGTCCAAAAAATGAAAGACAAAGTCTGGCCATCCTGGCTTCCAAAAAGTATATTGGTTGTACTTCTTCCAACACAAATTTGTTTGTTCTTCTGATTATTTTTAATACTCTCTTCCAACACTGTAACTCAAATGCATTAATTCTTCTATGGTCTTCCTTATTCACTGTCCAAGTTTCACATGCATATGACGGCATATTTAGTCCTCAAACTGACATCCTTGCTCTTCAACACTTTAAAGAGGTCTTGTGCAGGTTTCCCCAATGCAATACTGCATTATGATTTGACTGATGCTTCCATGAGCGTTGATGGTTGATTCGAGCAAAATTAAGTCTTTGACAACTTCAATCTTTTCTATTTATATGGATGCTGTTTTATTGGTCCAGTGGTAAGGAATTATGTCTTTACATTGA